AATACATCTCATACTACTGATTTACTGGTAGTCACGGAAACAATACTTTATTCGAAAAATAAAGTATATTATTCTATTGTTATAGCAAATATACGTTTGCTTCATCGGCAATCCCACCAAAAGAATATGATATGGCAGAAAGGCCTGGCCTTCCTTGAAAATTCACATTTGCTCTGTGACCCAAAATCCGCTAGTGGTAGTGAAGACGACTGGTTAGTGTGTCATGCTCCCATCCTGCACTGTCGCGGTTCGACTCCCGCTGAGGGTGTTGATAAGACCGATGCGAGTTCGAAACTGCAGTCCACCTCAGCCGGGATGAGAACAACTGTTGGGAAAGCAAGGCTATGTGAAATTGAATGGAAACGTCAGCTCAACTCATATGATTGTGGGAAAATTCTTCTTCCACCAGTTCTTCATCACCTTAAACGAAATTGGGTGAATACATCTCATAGATTTTGATCAATTTGTCTGTTGTAGTCCCCTGCATTTCCTGTGAAATTGTATTAAATGAAGAGATTCACAGCCCTTTCTCGCCAGAATACGAAGCCAGATTCTCTTTGTTCGTCAGTCTTTTGATGCTAACGCAACTTTCAAGTCCTCTTTCGGCATTAATAAAAACTAAATGGGCTTCCAATTGCGATTTGATAGACATTCGCATATCTGGATTTCATTTTAATCACACCTTCAAGTTGGCACTTAATCAAGTGTACTAAACCTCTGCACCGTACCTGCAATTTGTAATGCAACTAAAAAAATAATAAAAAAGTTTACAAAGACACAAATAGAATGAATCTTATCATTTATTTTATGTAAATCTAAGTGTCATGGCCCTGTTAAGTAGAGCCAGTCGGACTATTGATCACAGGGTTTTGGGCTGACAGTCGAAATCTCAGACGATTTGCAAATGAAACGACGGTACAGAAGAGGGCATCAGCCGTTGTCTTTTGGTGAAATCGAGGGGTGACTAAAGTGAAAGGGACCAAGTGAAACTGGGCGTCGGTGAATCTGCTATGATGATAGGATTGTGGTCACTTTTATTTCGTGTGGAAACATGTTTATTGCAGAGATTTGCGGGCCGAACTTATCGAAGGACATAAACGAATTTCAGACATTCTGA